GCAAGCCGGATTCATGGTCAACGCAGAAAAGAATACAGTTATTTACAATCATGCAAATCTCTCTGCCTACTTTCTGGGGCTGATTTTGTGTGTTCATGTGCATGAGATTGCGCGTATGCCTATGTGTGGCTACGAGGGAAAAAAAGGCCACACAGCAAGAAAAGTTATTTATAAGATAAGGACTTGTTTCCGAAGCAGGCCACCGAAGATGGAATATAAAATGCTACCACATGCAGTTCTGTTACAGATGGTTAGCCCAGATTGGAGGTGGAATCTCAGCTTCCAATCAGCTTGCGGTTGCAGTCTCGCTGAGCTGCTGTTTTGAATCTGGCCTTAGCTGGTATTAGCAAATTCTTGGTCAAAACAGATCATCATCAGAACAATGATGTTCGTCATGAAAATGAATCCTTCAAGATAAGTCATGCTATGGAGAACATCAAGTCTATGGTAACGTAGCTAAACACATTTGCAGAATGTTCTTTATTACACTCTGTAAGGTTGTAAATGTCTCATAGTGCATAGGGAACAAGCTTCTTTATCATAAAGCTTTACTGATTCATACATCTATACATTAAAGATTAAAAAAGCTTGCTCAGCACCTTATTCTAATGTATTTTACTGGAATTACAATACTTCCAGGGGAATACTTGTTTCTCATTCCAAGCCTGAAAAAGGATGTACCTCCAGAGGAAGTTGCTGATGAGTACTGTCTAAGGCGAGGCTTCCTGTAAAGCAAAGAGGGAGATTAAAGGTTTTAGACCAACTGGCTGAACTGGTCAATTAAGCTCTTTAAGAAGTTGTTTATCTCTTGAACAATCCTCCAATTGTTCCAATGATGGAGTCGTGCAGATATGCATGATCTTTTATGTAGGAAAGTGTCTCAGTGTTATCTTGTAAATGCCCCAGTCCTTGGTTGGTATTCAGTCCCTTTCTGAGCTACTGTCACATCAGGATCAATAATTCACAGTCTGCAATTCTTCTAGTAGCATGCACTACAGGAAAGCTATTCATCTCCATTGAACTCTCACTGTAGAGGCATGTAATAACAAAGTAGCCAGGCAGTCATGTACACTAAATCTTTAAATTCATTTCTTTTACATAGTAATGTAGAAAACATCATGTCTACTTGTGAGTGGACTTGTATTACACAGCTGGGGGCAAAGGCAGAACGTCAGCAGGAAGGGAAAAGAAAACACGATAAAATGGATCTTAAGTGCTATGTATTGAAAAATGGAGACCGCTAAAAGCCTTAGAAGAATTTTCAGCCAGTCACTAGCATGTTCTAGCATTAGCTGTTAAATATACCTTTTGGGTCTCCACATGAATATTCTAAACAATAGGCCCTTTTCCATGTAAGACATTTTGACATGTCACAGTAGGATCATTAATGTTATTAGTAACACCTGTGCTTTCCGACATTGACCAAATGTCTGCTGTGAAAAAAGCCACTGATGATCAATACAAACACGGCGGTCCATTCGTTCTGTCAATTTGATTGGTTCACTAACTTGCATTTGAAGTACTTGAATTAAGTTTATTTTGTTCAGTATATAGCTTATTACAGATAATGTAATAAACATTAAAAACAAAAAAAACAAAAGGAAAGTTTGTGTGGTATATAGGTATCAGACTTACTGAGCCGTACAGCTTTTCAGTGGACTCAGTAATGTCGTTCCTGCTAATCATACAGGCCCAGGATCAACAGTGAAACTGGTAAGAGAATCATTGTCGTGTGTTACGGTAGGGGTCATTCTACCATCTGACTTGTTTCATTAGTACACCATCGAATTAAGCTAAGCTGCTTTGAATGTTCTTGACTCCTGCATTCTCTTAGTCTGCAGTTGTGTCTCAGCTTCCTCTTAGCTGATCGGTGTTTTTGCTCTGTTCTGCCCAGCGTAGGTATACAGTTTATAGAGTAGATACATCTCAGGGAAAATGAGCTTCTAAGCAGCTAATTGTACACATTTTGAGATACCCAACAAAATGAACAAAATTCAGTCTGTCATAATATTTGTTATTTGCTTTTTGGTATATGAAAAAGATGCCATGGTGCCTCAAGTTCCTGCTAGCAGTGTTTGTATTCATTGAGATGAAGCATGGTACTATTCATTGTTTTGTATTTTTAGATTGCTTTGGGAACTGACTTCATCATCTAGGGATCTTATCTATAATACCATCAGTGCATGATAGATTTTGTAGAGCTCACCCCACAGTTGTCACTCCATGGGAAATCATATATCATCTCTTGAACTGTGTTCGCCGATTCATAGCTGCCTGCTTTTTATCTCTTTAAAGATTATTCATTTTCCCACAATCTCTCTGCCGTTTCCTTTCTGTGCCACCATGGAACATGCCATGTGGGATGTTATCTTGTCACAGTGGCGTCTGTCTATCTCTCTTTCTGTCTGTCTGTCTGTGAAGACACATTGTTGTGAGCACAGTAAATAAATAAAGAACAATGCATGGTAGAATCTCTGTTTTTAAACTGCAACTTCCCAAACTAGAGTAGATAGTCTGATTACATTTTAGAATACCTTGCTATGTTTAGATTTCCATATTAATGACAAGAATGGTCTTTTGGAACTACTAAAACTCCTTAAAGGTGTAATAAAAGCTAGTAGGTTAACTATTGTAAGCGCTACAATTGGTGGTACAAAGTTTAAATTCCATAGCACCAACAAGCTGAAAGTATTGAAAATAAAAATTTCAGGTCTTATTTATGAAGAATACCTTTTTATGTATGTGGTCCTACTACAACATTGCACAGAAAACCTTTCTTACTGTTGGAATGTATAGAGTTGGTTCTCTATGAGTGCTTAGATCATTTCTGAAAGGATGAATAACAGTAAGTGTTGTTGAATATAAGGATTTATTTTTGCAACATGGATTTCCTCACAACCTCAATGGCTGCAATGGCATTGGTGTGAGCATCTGCTTAGGTCTCAGTCTGCATTATGAATTAATTTTGCTGGCCTTCAAGCCTATATCATCTCGATTTAATCAACTTAGATTGTTACACTCTTAAGTGCTTACAGACTCCTCCATAATAAGAGGTAGCTTTGTGTGTTTACTGATTTTACTTGAATCAAACATTTTGTACACTGAGTTACCTAAGGTCATTGACAAAATATGCCCCTTGGACAGTAATTAAAGTTAAAAATAGACATTTGCCTTTGATTAATGCTGATTCTCTCTTGAAACAGAGATATGGCTTGGGGAAAATATCGCTCCACAAAGGATTCTACCAATTGGAATGCGTATAAACACTTAAAGAATATATGTATTACTAAAAAAAGATATGCTGATGTCAATTATTATAAAGATTGTTTAGTTAAATGGGAACTTGGTAACTATTTCAACTTAATAAACCTGTTTAGAAATCATTTGGATGGTTAAATGGCCTGTTCCGGTGAAAATGGTGACTTTCCCCGTTCCCCCTAGCGTCCCCAGGCGGAAAACCAACCTTGCAACTTTGGGACTACCGTTCTGTTAAGTTGGAAATAGGAAGTATCGTGAGAAGCGAGAACGAGCAAGAAACATGAACTGCTTTACGGCAGTTCCACATAAACGCACACGCCCCCCTCAATACCGGTTAGCCACGCCGGCTATAAGAACACGCAACGATGAATGTATTACCCACCTCGGTAGACATTGCTCCACAAGAAAAAGTTGCCCGGCAACAAATGCACATTAGCAGCGGTAGAAAGGGGGAGGAGGGTGCCGCAAGTGAGTTTTTTTACGACAGTGTTTTGAAATATAGTGAAAACCAGCGAAGAAATGGCTAGATTTGCCAAGTTCCCCTTTAATGATTTTAATAACCCTGAACAGTTTTGGCACAGAACCAACTGTATAACTAATAAATCCACCAAAAGCTCTACAACTCATATTCGAGTTCATAATGAAGTTGTTAGTGATCCCTCTTTAATTGCTAATGCCTTCAACCAGCATTTCTCCTCTGTCTATAGGTCACATTTTTCCAATTTTCCCCATTCTGATATTTCAGTAACATACTCTAAATATGGCAGCTCATTCCCCTTTAGAAGAATGCTTCTAACTTATATTCAGCAGGTTATTTGTGATTTAAGCTCAGGTAGTGGTGCTGGCCCAGATGGTTTGGAGGTTAAGTTCGACAAACGTGCCCCTCATGTTCTCTCATATCCCTTGTCTGATTTGTTTGACTTATCTTTATACACTTGTGAAATTCCATTAATTTGGAAATGTGCCCCCCTTTGCACAAAGATGGTGATCCTCTTGATCTCAATAACTATAGACCTATTTCCATAATTAACAGTATAGCAAAAGTGTTTTGACTGTTTGACTGTTAAACTGCTAAATGGCTGCGGCTGCTGGTGGTAGCTTCATATTAACCATACTGACGTGAGAGTAGTATCAATCTCATTTAACTCTGCCAGAAAAGAAATGTGTATTTTTCTATTACATTAACGTGCCTTTGAGATTTGAGCTTACTCTCTCATAACTACGACACAATCATACATAAAGGTTCCTGTTTTTTTAACCTTTTTCGATGTGTTGTTTTGTCTTATTCATATTTGTATTTCTGGAATGAACTGCTTTGTATTGTGATTTGCCTATTTTGTGTGAAGAACTTTGTAAACAACTCATCATGGCAGCAACTCAACCCCCATCGTCTTTCTCTCCACTGTTCCCACACCCTTCTCTTCTCATACTGTCACCTGTCACTAGTGACACTAGTTGTTTACCCCAAGAGGAAACATACTTTGACATGACCTCATCTGTGGCTTACAAGGTCACCTATCTATCTGTCCTCACTAAGACGTTGCCTGACAACTTAGTAACATCTTTCATTCCTCCTCCTTTCCTTCGTTTCATCCTCCTCTCCCTCCTCGTGCCAATTCTTCCACCTCTCTGTTCCCCCCTGCTGATCAATCTATCAGGAAGCAATCATTTAAATACACCATTATAAGTGAAACCAGTGTAGTGGGAAACCAATTAACCTTTACATCCTCCCTTTCCCCCAGGCCCAGGACCTGAATGTGATTGAGGAGGTGATCCGCATGATGCTGGAAATTATCAACTCTTGCTTGTCCAACTCTCTACACCACAACCCCAACCTGGTGTACGCACTGCTCTACAAGAGGGAGCTCTTTGAGCAGTTCCGGACACACCCATCCTTCCAGGACATCATGCAGAACCTGGACACGGTCAGTTGGAATTTCTTTTCCGAATAGTCACACACATATCAGAAGTGAACGAATTGAGAGAAGCTAAAACCTTGGGGGCGCTTTGCCTCATAATGTTGGCTGAGTTGTGGTAATTATTCCATACATCAAGGTTATACAGATTTTCCTTGAATGTCCTCCCCGTCTGCAGGGAAAGTTTCAAAAGGCCATGCAGCGCTGGAACATATGCGGACTGCATCGTTAACATAGTGTGCAGTCTGACTGTATAGCATGCTGAGCGCACAGTAAGCTTAAGTACTATTGATGAATTAATCAGGCCCCTTGTGTCAAGAGGCCCTGTGTCAAATATTCATTGAGAGTGTTTGGTGTATGGGTGAGGAAGGTACAGAGTGAGAGAAAACTGTCATTCATAGCTGTGTTAGTCATATAGAGAAGGAAAGGAAGCTTTGGTGTGCATGAGTGTGTGTGAGGGATGGGGGTTGCTGCATATATTGCCATGTTATCCATAAGTATGAGGGAAGCATGCTATCTAGAATCCCTGTTAAGTCAGCCTCCCTGAGGCTATTCTCCGAAGCCTTCCCTGTGCTTGCAAATCCGTGTGTGTGAGCTTGAGATTCAGCATGAGGGGCTGCTTTGCTCCTCTAAATTAACCCCATATGGGAGGCCTTCACAGTTAATGAAGAGATTAGTATTAGATAGATGTAGACGCACACACACACGCACACACGCAGTGCTCATGTCGGCTCCGGTATGTTTGAATTCTCTAAAGCAACCACAGAATGTGAGCAGAGAAAACATTGCCTGTAGTGGCATTTTTCACTGTTGGTTTGACAAAAAAAGAGCTTTAAAAAGAATCAGTAATACCTAGAGTTTTTTAATTACCAAATATCAAACATTTCTCTGGGGAAAAATGTAGCATGGCAGTGGAAGCACAGTTTCCTTGCCTTAAACCCAGAAGGCATCAGATAATTTGAGCTCCAGTGAAGTCCTTATTTTTAGTGGGGCAAAACACACTCAAACCCTATGGTGGATTTCTAATCTGAAATACTCTATGTATGTATTTTCTAAGTCTGTAGCCTGCAGGCCCACTGTATGAGCCAAGCCATTGTTCGTAGCATTTGAAAATGTGCAAGTTTCCCATCTCTTAATCAGAACTGATGCAGTTCTATAGCCATCTCATCAACTTTTATCCCCTCATTTGCAAAGATTCTCAATCAGTATTGCTATATAATTGGATTATGAATTATACTATATGTATCTCTGTATCTCTGCATAGTATAGATGCATTTTGGAGCAACTTGCTGTTGCTAGGAAACATGATGACCCATGGACAGTTCTTGTTGGCTGTTGATCCGATGTAGCAAATGTAGTCTCCAATTAAACAGATCAAAACAAGCAGGCTTGTTTTTCTGTTGACAACATCAGTGTTTCTGTTTACAGAATGAAGCCCTCTATATATGTAGTATGATGCCCCATTGTTCTAACTTAGATCTCCATATTGCACGCACTGTCGTCATATAGGGTGTGGCTGCTGCAATATGTGTGACAGCTCCAAACAGCAGGATTAGAAGAGTCAAAGACTTCATGACTGAAAGTGGGAGTTGATATCAAACCTCAATGAGACCAAGATAACATGAGAACCTTTGAATTTGAAACAGGAACAGGATTTATTGGTGTAAGATGTAGACTAGAGCCCGATCAATACTGAATTTCTGAGGCCAATTCTGATATTGATATAAGAACAGTAAAAATATAAGAGCCTAGCTGTTTTCCTCAGTCTTTATGCTAAGCTACCTCCTGGCTGTCGTTCGATATTTAACAGACAAGCATAGTTACATAAATGTTGAACTCAAAATAACACCACAAACAAACTTTATAATCATCACTCTTAGACTACATGTACATTTTGGTTTGTGATCGGCTGTTTCCTTTTGCGTGACCTTTAGGTGATCGGTTTCTTCAGTCAGCGTCTGGAGCAGGCTGGAAGTGACCTGTCAGTTGAGCGGGTTCAGGAGGTCATCATGAAAGGAGCCCAGGCCCTGCCCACAGACAGACTGAAGGTAAATCTCTCTCTCTCTCTCACACACACACACACACACACACACACACCCACCACACACACACACACACACACACACACACACACACACACCCCCACAGTAGGGGGACAGACAGAGAGCACGGAGACGAGGAATAATGAAATATGAGACTGACTGAAGAAAAAAAGGGAAGTGGTACATATTGGACATCAAGGTGCTCGTGTTGCGGTTACAACATATTTTCAAAGGCTGTGAGGTATGGTGGATTGGTGCTTGGGAGGTGAAGAAAAGAGAATTAGTTTGTCTGGACAGGTAAAAGAAGGAGAGGTGAAGGCTAGGGACGTGGACTGGGGCGAGGGGAAGATTGAAAGAGCCATTGGGACATGAGACAAAAGGCTAAAGCCCAGTTCTCATTAGCATTAATGCCCATCTTCATTCCATCTCTGCTGGGCTCCTACATACGAACATGTAATGACATTTCAAGGAGATGGGATGGGGGACTAGGGGGCACTTTGTCATGGGCACATAAGATTGGGGGGGAGGGGGGTGAGGGGAGACATAAATCTGCCACCGCGCCTCGTTACCCAACACTCCCAACACTCCTGGCGGGTTCGCTAACCCCCGCCCTTCCCAGCGCTCCTCCATTAATCAGTGAGGAAATATGTAACCAGCGGTCTCCCCACTCCGCTCCTCACCAGCGCAGAAGCTCTTAATTGCATGTTTCATCATGTGTTTCATGTTCTATACTTGGCGTCTGGCTGCGAGGCATTTGTCTCGCTAGCCGATGCAGAAGAGGGATGGTGCGTGGCCACGGGTCCGTGTGCTCTCTCTGTCTCGGCACCTTGGAGCGTTAATGTAGCCATCGACCAGAGAGCCGTACAATTACACATGTAGACACGTGCATAACCCCACTGTGTCCTTCAGCAAGGGTGGCGTACCTGTAGCACACACCCGTTCGTTCAGAGTTGGAATATGTGTGTATGAGCGTGTCCGTGGGTGTTTGCAGATGACCATTTGTGTGTCGATTAGTGTGCGGCCATGCATGTCAGTCTTTGTTTCTGTGCAGAAGTGTTGTTGAGTCTCAAATTGACTCTCTTGACCATCTGAGTGCTTTCCAGCTCTACAGGGTGACATGAAACGAAGAGAATATCTGGGCAATGTCTCCTCGGGGAGAAGTCCCCGCCGCCTCATGGTACCATCGCTCAAACAAACAGCTGTCTCTCTACCTCTCACTTCCCTTCATCTTATGAGATCATTCTGCTATTCAGGTCCCAACGCGAAAAATCCATAGGCTGGATTAATGTTGTGTGGAATCATCGATAAGTTGGTAATTACTCAGTAAAAGCTCTTAAAGGAGTGTGTCTCAATCAGTAGTGGGTGCATGGACAGGGCTGGTGAGAAAGAGCTGCTGTTCCTCTCTAAAATAACCAACACAAGAATCTGAGCATGTTCAGTTGGGTTTTTCATTCATAAATGAGGTTATTCTATCCTGTGGTAATTTTCACATTTAATAGTAGTACGGTGCATGAATGCTGTATAACCTAACAAATAGTTAGTGGCGTGTTGAAGTTTGATTCAAAGCCGTTTTAACCTTCACAACCAAAACCAGAAATTTTTGAGGACACTCCAGTATAGAGAAGACCAATGTTGCAGGTGTTGTGGTGTGGACACTTAATATTAATAAAATTAATTAAAATAAATATTCATATATTTAATAAAATGAATTACATATAAATATATAAAATAACCAATGTGTAAGTTATGGGGATCTACTGGCAGAAATGAAATATTATATATATATATATATATAATATAGTCATAGGTATGTTTTCATTAGTGTATAATCAACTGAAAGTAAGAATCGTTGTTTTTCTGTTACCTTAGCATGAGCCCTTTATATCTACACAGATATCATGAGATATCAGGCCATCATGTTGAACCACCATGTTTCTACAGTAGCACAGATTAGACAAACCAAACACTGGCTCTAGACAGGGCCTATCTTGTGATACATAGCCACCGTAGTTTCTCCTACATGCTTGGAAGAATCTGCAACTTCACCGCTAGATGCCACTTAATTGTACACACTGGCCCTTTAACATAATCAAATAAAAAAACATTAGGTCCTAACAATAGTTCATATACAATATACATATACATATACATATAATCTAATAATCTCATATAATATCAGCAGATTGTTCTTGAAATTGAAACTCCAGCATTTTCAGGCAAGTATGCAACATGAATAAACCGTCTAAAGGTTACAGCTTGCGTCCACATTAGTGTTCCCAGGTCATTTAAGAAGAGACCTCTGTCCACAGTGAAAATTCTCTTTTTTTTTTTTTTTTTGAGTGGGACAGACAGCTTGGCTGACCAAATCACTATTTTATGGTTGTGACATTGTCTGATAAAATCACTTGAATGCAGGTTAATGACAGCAGCTGTTTTGCATAATCGGCTAAATCGGTATTTAAAATGAGTGATCACAGAGAATGTGCCAGCCTGTTACACCTCTGTTCAGTCTCCCCCTGCTCTCTCTGGTAATTCACATCATAGTTGTTGTCATTTACATATTTTTCTGTTGTCAGACAGTGGAACAAGTATGAAATAGTGATATACCCGCTGTTCATAAATACTACCTGTTGCAATCAATCCCAAGCTGCTGCGCTGCCATGATAAGATCACACAGGTTAATGACAACAGCTGCGCTTGTGTTCAGCTATATTGACATTTAAAATTATCAATCACAAAGAAAGTTAGAGGTGACAGAAAGTCCTTCTAAACTTTACTACCACACAGCCCCTGGATCTCACTGGGCAGCTTACGTTATCGTTTTGTAAAAGTTCTGTTTCCCCTGTACACAGCGAATCACCAAGCCGACATTTTAAGATTTATTCACTGTGGAGAAAGTTTTGGGCGAGAAAAACACTATGATATTTGGGAGGGCTGAAATGGAGAGAAAAAGATGTGTTTACAGATTTAACCAGCTCAGTGTGGATGTACTAGTAGCCTTTGTCTCCTCACCAGATGAAGGCCGTAACAGTTTTGTTATGTGCTAATGTAAAAATAAGGAATATTTCACAGTTTTCCTATTATTTTTGCATTTCAGTGTGGACAGAGAAGTTTACAAAAGAAAAAAAACCAGCATTTCCACATTTATCTTATTATCTTATTTCTGTTGAAATCTATTAAAATCCGTTTGTTGGGTGGAGCTGACAGTTGTGAAGTAATTATTTAGTTTAGATTTTACTGACAAAACAGAACCATGTTGTTTTAGGTGAGAGGGGGGCATTGTAGACACAGGACTACAAAAAGCCTGTTTACTTAAAGGACTTAAAAGCATTTACACAAAGACGTGGATATGCAAATTAGGTCCCAACTGAAATAAAGGGTTAAAAGGAGGCGGTAAATACCCCAGGGATGACCATCAGTGCCTCGTCACTCAACCGTCTCTCTCATTCTTTGTGTATGTGTGTTGTTTCAGGGTGTGTGAGGCTGAGTGGCTCTCATGGGCAGTGCCTGTGGAATGTGTTGTTTAGCCCGACCAGCTGAAATCTGCCTTATTGAGCAGCGATAGCCTACAGACTCTCTGGCTCCTCAGGATGGGGCGGAGGAGGTGGGGGGGACCTACCAGCTGTTACTAGTACCTGGGCCTTTGTAGGTCTGATGGCTGGTCAGCACTACTTTCCCACACATTGATAACAAAGGGTATATGCAATTTCATACCCTAAAACCTCTTTTAGCCCAATGGAGTAATGGAGTAATGGAGTCAGTGGGTGTATAATACAAATTGTCTTTACAACTAGTCCTCGGTCCTGGGTTTAACAAACATCTGACACAATGAAATTACTGTAAAATTATGTTGAGACTATTGTAACCATGTTGTAGAAGATACTGGCACCTTTTAGCTTTCTTAACCATAAACTTTACTTCAATCTATGCTATTGTTATCAATCTTCGATACTTGAACGTGATTTCAGAAATAAAAATTTAAAAAATCAACATTTCACAAATTAACCAAATAAAGAAAATATATCAAATGCAAAATCCAGAATCTGCGTTGTTGCACACCGGCGGCACACTCCATCATTTCTATGAGAAATTTTCTTGTTAATATTTGCTCCCTAGCCGCATTCTTTCCTGTCTGGCCCAACTCTGACAGCACAGCAGCGTGCAGAGGAGGGAAGGGAACACAGAGTCCTGAGTGAAGATATGAGGCCAGCCAGTCAGTCTGTGTTCAGGGGCGAGGGCCTGACCCGCCAGGACCCATAACTAACTGATATGAGCCTGGGCCAAGTGGACCCAGACAGCTGCCAGACTGAGAACAAAACAGAGGAGGAGGGGGAGGGGGAGGGGGAGAAAGCAACAGAGAGTCAGAGGAATAGTATAGACAGAATAAGAGACAGAGATAATATTAGGGATGTGGCAGTCTGGAGATGCTCTGATTTTTCCCAGAAAGCACTGGAGCATGGAAGGGACATTTTTGCTATGAGGCATGTAGTGATATCCAAGACTTCCCGCAGCACCAAATCCCTTGGTGGTTCTGTCTAATATAGAAGCAGGAGGAAAAATGTTGGCCATTGTGATTCGAGGATCATTTTTCTTTTTTTCTCATTTTGTGCTCAGTATCTAGTGAAAATGGTTGCATGTGCACAGGGGACTGTGTATTCTTGTCATTTAGGTTCATAATTCCTACTCCAGTAGGCACTTGTCTCATTGACACTGTCATTTTCTTATAAGATGTTTGTTTAGTGGCACTAGGTGCATCATTTTCACTTTCTTTTGTCGGCTTGTGAGATCATGTACTGCCTGTTTGACAGATGTGGCACCACACTAACAGCTCTTCTAGCATTTCAGGAATAGTTTGACATTTTTGAAAAAAATTGCTTATTTACTTTCTTGCTTAGAGTTAGGTGAGAAGATCAGAAGCTACTCTCAAATGCTAAATGTGAAGATGGGACAGGCTAGTTAACTTAGCTTAGCATACAGACTGGAAACAAAGAGAAACAGCTAGCATGGTTCTGTTCGTACCTGTGTGGGTTTTAGTGAGGGGATTATGTGCTGGACACTTAGCTTTGAGATGTAATGTGTTAATTAGTAAGCTTAAGAGGGGCTGGTAGGAACATTTTGTTACATTTGGACAAAGCAGACTAGCTGTCTCCGGTCTTTATGCTAAGCTAAGCTAACCGGTTGCAAAGAATAGTTCATATTCATCTAACTCTTGGCAAGAAAGCAAATTAATGCATTTTCCAAAATGCTGAACTTTTCCTTTTAATTATGTAGGATTTGCTTTGCATAAATGCTCCAGTTTAGGCCGGACAGTCCGGCTTTTAAACACCCTGTCCGGCTGCAGGCACAGCCTTAAGCCGGACACTCGTTTGTCCTCCTTTTGAGAAAATGACTAAAAAGGTCTGCCTTTTGACACATTACCTCGTTAGTTTAATACTTATTTGGCTAAAAATGTGTGTCAAAATAAGTAATTTCATTGGTTACATTTTCATGTGGTGACCTATCAACCTATCATCAATATTCAAATGAGCCATGTGTTGATTCGCCACCGGATCACCGCAGTTGCTACCATCAGGCTGTCAATCAAGCTCTCAGTGACAGAGAACGTAACGTGAGCTAACGTCGGTTGTTGGACTGAAATTCTGAAAATGCTCATACTCATATGTAGATAGGCAAAGCCTATACATATGAAACAGAAGGTGCTGTATTTTTTTACCCTTTATCTATCCAGATAAAAACATTAAGAACAATTTCTGTATGATGTTTATTAGACCTATGCAATCTGAATTGGAAGGGCACGTTGTCATAGCTGTTTCTTTATATATTTATTATTAGCTATGTGGTATGTGTATGCACCTTTATGTAATCTGGTGGAAAAACATATTCAAATTTAAAACCGGATCAAACCAAACAAATATCTGCTTGCATGTCCCTGTGTATGCAAAGTGTCCTCCTTTTTGATGTGAAGGAAATGGCCACCCTACTCCAGTTTTAGAAGGATTTTATTCTTTAGTTTGCAGTTTTCTTAAGTGTTAGCAAAATAATATTGAGTTGCAAATGAAGTGCACACATTTTCAGAACATAGTCGTGTATAACATTGGTGTTTCATTGTGTCAGTATCATCATCAGTTTGGGTGTTTTTTAGAGATTGGGAGATAAAGAAACATCAAAGAAACACATTATTTCCAACATGAACCTTTCCATGACACAATACACCAGAGAGGTCTAAGAGAAGAACATACTTGATTTTAAGAGAAAAATGATGAGAGAAATGTTGGATAATGTAGGGGTTGAAAGGAATCCTCTGCCTTTATTGTTGGTGGTAAGCCACTCATACCTGTATTTACAAAGGCACAAAGCATATACGCAACAGTGGCTGAAAACTACCATTTGTGTGCTTATAGTTCAGGTCTGATGTGTTTCTCTCATTGTTGTGAACTGTGAATGCTGCATTCAGAGGTCATGATGAAGTGCTCCTCATATTCAGTTGCAATCCAGTCGTGGTTTGATAGAGCATATAAACTGAAATATTGGTCTTTTAGTGTCCTGCCGCTATGGAAACCTGTAATGTGCAACATTACATTGCCACAGTGGCTTATTCTGTCTAGAGACATGTTCTTATGAAAACAATAACATACAAACATTACGTGTCAGTTACTGCTTGCTCCACATGTTCCTCGTACAGATGATCTGATTAGTTTTTGGAGCACTGTTCCATAGATTTGCAAATTAATGAGGGAAACGTTTGATTCCTTAATCATAATACAACACATGTGTTTCAAAGTATGTTGACATAGCAGTATTTGCCAGCTGATTAATGCTTTAATTATCTTAATGACATAATTAGCATAACTGGGTATGTTTCATTTATCATGATGATTATGGCAGGACATTAATCAGCTGCCTCCTGTTTCGGTTTGTTTGGTGCTTATGAGTCGATAAAGCTGCTGGATAAAAACAATAATTTCCATCTTAAAATGAAAACAATAGTACATCATCCACGCTCGCAAGTGAAAACGAGCCTGGGTTGAGTAACTGTCGCTATCAGTGTCATATGAACATTTGATGAGTTGGTCGGCTTGTCTACGAGACAGTCACCTACACACAAATACCAGGCAGATAATACAGCTCCTGCATTGTGTCTAGCCATCACAATGGCGGTGGTGTGTGTGGTCTAGCCTCAGTAGCCTGGCATATGGCCTGTGACCCCGTAGCCCCTCTGTCTATGTCATTATGATACCGATAGTGTGGCTGTGAATAGAGCCAGCCAGGACTCAATAGACCGGACTGGGACCATCGCATAAAGGCCCTCAGCGTCTGTCTTTCACCGCAGACTGATTACTGGCTGCGTGTGTGCATATACTTGCATGTGTAGACAGGAGGATATAATGAGGTACCCCTGTATTATTGATGCTTTTCTTTTACTACCTACCTGCTGTTAGGTGGGCTTGTGTTTTGCTTCTTGCAGGTTTGGAAAAAGACTTCAGAGAGGAGCTCTATTAAAAAATAAATAAATAAATAATGGAGCTTGTGTCAAATAGAGCTGCAATGATTAGTCGACTAACCGTTTTAGTGACTTTTCAACTAAATCTGATACCAGCCTCTCAAATGTGAGGATTTTCAGCTTTTCTCTGTTTTATATCATCGTAAACTGAAAAGCTTTAGGTTTTAGACTGTCAAACACCATATTCTGGCCTTTTTTAGACAAAATGATTAATCAATTAATGGAGAAAATAATCTTAACTGATAATTAAAATAAACACTACTTGCAGCCCCAGTGTCAAACACTTGTTTTGTCTGAACGGCATCCCAAAACCCAGATATTTAATTTTATATCTCAGAAGACATAGAAAACATACAAGTCTTCCTATTTTGAGGAGCTGGAACTTTTATTTCTCTCTGTCTATTTTTCCCATTTTTGCTTAAAAGATCAATACAATTAGAACAATAAATCAAATATCAAAATAGTGGCTTGTTAATTTTTTCCTAACTACTTAATTGACCAATGGTGTCAGCTCAAGAATTCATATATACAACATAACAAGAAGGCACAAGACCGTACAGTCCACAGCCACATTTATGTGTTGCCACGTACATAATCAACACTGAGGCTCTACAGTATAAACTTGATAACCTCTCCCGGTCCAGCTCAGTGAGTGTTTTGTGCATTAACAAGCCATGTCAAGACATGCTGAAGCTTGAAGGGTCTAGTGGCTGATCCCTAGTAATCAGGTTACTCAGCATTTCTCCACGGGTCTAAACAATAGGTCTTGATGGCTGACAGACGGCTCTGAAAAATTTAACTGCAAGTTTGAGTTCAGTTTATTGCATTACCTTTTGTTCTTCGTGCATTTATTGTTGTGTATTGAAGTCGGACTAATAAACTGCCTTCTGTTATGGAGCTATTTCCTCATTTATCTCTGGGTGCTTTCTGAATGAGCCACGAGTGACAGTTGGGCTGCTTTGTTCAGCAAACAGTAGCTGTCGATATCCAGTCGCCACCCGGGGTTAAGAAGTGACATTAGCACATAAGCCTACCCTTTAAGAGTTCAGTGGTCTGACCACAGAGTGATACCTGTTCCGCAGGCTCCTGTAAACAATTTTAACTCACAAACAGGTGTAATTACATCTGCCAGCGAGTTACTGTACCTGATGAAGAGTGATTACAGAGAGGCCTGGACAAGTTAACCTACCTGTATAACTGCACCTCCGTCCATCTGTTGGTCACAGCACTTTATAAATATCTAATGTGGTTGGAGGCAAAGTGGTATTGACGACTTAGGCTATGTTCAGACCAACAACAGCACTGCGTGACAAACAGCAGCTCTCTCATTTATTTCATTGAGATGCTGCAGATGTTACATAAAACAAACAGCACAGGATGATCCAGCAAGAAGTTGAACCCTGCTCAACCTTTGCCACAATGCAGTATCACGTCATTGGGCAACGCACTGGGGTGGCCAATCACATACGTGCATTTATATTCACATTTCAAATTCCAATATTCACACTAATCATAAAATGAACAATGGCTGAATTCTATTTAGCAATTTGCTTCAGTTACAGGGGCCGGATGTTGTGCATGCTGTCTCACTGTCACTCTGTCATGGCCTATAGCCATTGTTAATGTTATTAGTGACAACTATGCTTTCCTCACTATGGCAAGTCAAAGTGTTCGCTGTGAAAAGGCCTCTGCATTTTAATCATGTTGGGTTAACATTGTGAAAGAAGAAAGCATCATCTTTGAGTTCTGTTCAATATTGTTTTGAGTATTAATCCGCCAACATTTTTCTTTTTTCCCTTGTGCATCCTGACAACATCTCTCTCTCTTTTTGTGAGAACAGAAGTTCCCGGAACTCAAGTTTAAGTATGTGGAGGAAGACCAGCCGGAGGATTTCTTCATCCCCTACGTCTGGTCGCTGGTGTTCAACTCTGGAGTCGGTCTCCACTGGAGCCCGCATGGCATCGAGCTGTTCAGCATGGACTCTGGCTGAAGCACCTGCTTGCAGCCAACTGTGTGTGTCTTCATCCCCGTTCATTATAGGGAGAAACAAAAAAACAGACTGACGGCATGTGTGTGTTTGGGTGGGTGGGTGTGTGCGCAGTGCCCTTTATAGTATGTGCACGCTGCTTTGAAAGTGCCTCAACCTTGTACAGAATGGTGTTTTCTTTTTTTCTTTGTTTTTTTTTAATGCAGCACAGCCTTTTTTTCCCCCTCATATCGTAATAATTCCTCTGCTTCTACACTGTGAAGCTGCATCTGTAACAGTTCACACAGTAGCACCCACTCATGTACAGTCAGCCCTGTAGGGAATACCTATTTAACATTTGAGCAGCTTCACCTGGTTCCATTGCACATGCCAAGTTACATCTCTTATGAAAAGAATTTTGTTCAGAGCTCAGGAAACTGGCGATGGATAATCCTACGTTTTTTTTCTTGCTTATAAAGAAAAGGTCAATTAAAAAAAGATGCGCCTAAGTGTTACACATGCTGGGGTGAACGTTCATTTACAGCTGCGTTGAATGCTAAGGAGTACCAACTTATTATTCGAGACACTCATGTCTTGGAAGACACAACATACATTTTATTTCAACTTAGATGATGTTATTTTTAAGTATCATTATCTCATACATTTTATTTTGACCGACATTGTTCTCTTAATACAATGGGTTTGTATAAAAGGTTCGTGTTTGTGAAATAAACTTTAAAAAAAAGAAGGTCAGAGAAAGAGCACCAACAGAACTGTTTAGTTTTAACGTGCTGGGTTTTCAGATTTGAGTCGACCAGTGTTGCTTGGTGGCCTCCTCCAATAACCCACATTGAATTACAGTTTAATTAATGCTTAATTTTGGTCCCTGGATAATATTAGCAGTCCACATCAGTCTGATTCATGTGATTTCATTGTTGCTTCCAGCCCATTTATTTGACTTTACCCTGTCTTTGTCATTTCCATTTTATTCCTGATGGTAACCCAAGGCAAGTACTTAAACTAGGACACTGACTAGGAAGTCATTAAACCTCCTGTACTATTGTGCATAATTACAGTTGTCTCTTTGATTTGTCACTTATTTTGCATGTTTAACTAGAGACTTTGTATTAAATTATTTATTTTCATGTATATTGTTTTTTTTTTTATATATTCAGCCCCTGAAAAAAATGTAAAAGGTAGTAGTACTGAAATTACTACTACTAATGAAATAAAAACGGTGGAACTATACTTTGTTTCTTCCCAGGTGGGAAACTGGCTTTATATTATTACATATAATATGACAACAGCTGTCATTTTGTGGCGAATATTACTTTGAAAATAGGAGTTTAAATAAAAATGTTAAATCAAAGCAACCAAAGTGTCATATGGTTATTAAGCAAAGTGAAATACTGTAATGTTCAGGGAGAACATGAACATAAAGGAGGAATTATGTTAGACAGTGCACTACTTTCACAACACTGAATGTAAGCTGAGCAGCCATTCCTGATTTTATCAAATAAATTGGTGTCTCCTGTTTTGCATCTTGGGGTGGGTTTTACTTTAAATACTGTGTGGCATCTGCCAATTCACTCTCTCTGTCATACCGCCCGGTTAAACGAGCCTCTATATAGACAGTACACAGCCCAATAAACTAAAAAAGACAGAATAAAATACGCTTATTTGCTTTCTGACAAGAATTATAGATGAGAAGATCAATAGCAATATGTCTCTTAAATATGTAGCTATAGCCAGAAGACAGTTAAAAATGTAAATTAGCATAGCTCACTAATTAACATTTTGTATCTCATTTGTTTAATCTGTACAAAAAAACTAAGTATAAAAATGACAAGATGTGGTTTAACAGAGAGATGAGCTTACCATGAGGTTGCCAGGCAACCAGTGGAGAATCCAGGAGGTTACTCCACCAAGAAATAGTCGAGCACATAACTGTTAATAAAACCACATTACATTACATTGCTTGTTTTTATTTTGAATACATTAAAGCCCACCTCTACAGGGAACTTATACTTTTATTGATTCTGGGGGCCCCTGTGGACAAAAGCGGTAGTATTCCCACCACCTTGTTTTGTCTGATTCATGGGAATATGACCAAATCCAACCCGGTGGCAGGAATTAAGAATAACTATATATAAATAGACAATCTTCTACCGGATGGTCTTGTATTTTTTATGTAAGTTGTGCTTCTTTGTGCTAAGCTAAGCTAACCAGTTGCTGGCAGTAGCTTCATATTTAGCACAGAGACATGAACGTAATCCTCTCGTCTCACTCTCGGCAAGAAAACAGAAAAGCGTATTCTCCAAAATTTTGAACAATTTTGAAATATTACAAGTACTGCAATGTCTCTTTGACTCCTTGTCTATAAGTTGCAAGCAGTTCAACCAAAGCTATGTTCCCATCAGCAGCTGTTACTTTTTAAAAAGGTATCAGAGGCCTGAAGGGGGGTCAAACTTTCTGATATTTTACAATAAAAAGGGTTTACGAATTTGAGAAAAGTTATTGTATGTAGCAGATACAGTTTTTTTTTCATCTGCTTAACCTTGTTTATCATCTCACAACCCGACAAATATATCTTCCAACTCTGTAGAAAGTTTCTTCCTCTAACACTAAGAAGGAAAAAAAAGCCGTAAAACGCAACTGTCACATGCTGTTTATATCTGCATCTCATAATGTTAATAAACTTTAGCACTGTACGTGTCTCTCATGTCTTATTGTTGCACGTTGTGGTCATAGATGCAGAGGCAGCAGAAACAGAGGCATGAAACCACTTCGGGGGGGAAATATTTATGGCACAATGGCACCCACTGTGTTGTTGGCGCTCCCACTTCCCAAGAGAATTTCATGCCTTTCGTCTCTATTGTATTGATTTTCATGCCTGAAATTCTCTCATTCTCAAGGACAATATAATGGATGCAATTTGATGTAAAGAATGGCCCATTTTCAACACGGGGTCGTCGTTAGGTTACAGTGAGATGGCGTGCCCGAGGACAAACCGTCCACACTGACGCTTTCTTTCTGTCTCTGCATGACTCTCACCTGCTTCCAGCTCTATTATCGTAGTGCCAGATGGTCGAGGAGAGGTTTTCACAAAGTGACATGGCCCTCCTTGTTCCTTCATGGTGTGGGGGTCACCTTACTGTGAGCTCCCGTTTCAGGTGACAGCAGGAAGATGGATGGAGCAGGGGATTCTGGGATGGGTAGTTTATTTCTTTTAGAGGCTGGTACATTTACCTCAAGGTCTAGGTGAGATTGCGTTGCAGCCTACCACAGCAGCGTGGCTCTAGATGCAAAGGTCATACCTGGATCATCGTCTGTTGAGTGATTTAAAAAGTAGGGCACTGGAGGCCAGTTTGCTGAAGTGGCTCTGTGCTAAGAACTGGTTGCCCCTAGTGGCATGGAACTCATTAATATGACAGATCACTACGGTAACGATGGAAGGTCGTTAGGCTCAACGGTTTTAGGTTTAGGTCACAGGAAAGGGGAAGCTCGCTCAGAGCATGAGAACAGCACTGAGAGTTAGATATAAATATAAAAATAAACAGATAACACCCCCTGTCATTCCATTCCTTCATACAAATCTTCAGTGGAATGACAACAGTCTCAATAGGCTGCGCCATCAATGGAAAAACAAAAGCAAAAATCACAAAAGATTAAAGAAGAGACAGACAGAGAGACTGTACAATGCTCCTGGTGTCTGCAAGGTACCAGCAAACCTATGTTTAGTAGTCACGGATTACAGAAAAGGAACAACCTCCCACCTTAGGAAATACTTTAAAAGTCACATACCTCTATTGTTGCTTATCTGGTGTTTATATTTTACACTGAAACTGTTTTTGAGTTATCAAGTTACTTCTAGGTAATCAGTCGTAGACATTTTTCCATTAAGCTGCTAAACAAATCACAAGGTAGAAGGTGATAGATAGGAAATAAACAAGTTGAGCTAAGAGAACATGTAAGAGGTTATATTGTCCCCAGTGTCAACCCTCGTTAGGTTAGTATTTGTGGTTCTGAGTGAAATATCACAACAAGGGATATTGCAATGGATGCCATGAAATTTGCCCACAAAAACTTCCCTTGAATTTTCATCTAGAACAATCATCTAGGAAGAATTTTTATTTGGCCAAAACTAATGACTTTGTTAACATTGTCCTTATGAGCATGTTAGCACGCTGACATCGGCATCTAGCTCAAAGTCTCAAAACTGAAAATAACATGATAAAAAATACAAAAGATGTCTTTTTTTTTTTTTTAATAAAGTTAACATTTTTGTCAAAGATGGAAAGGGCTCATCCTTACATCTACATACAATCTGCCTGGTACATTTGGATGTTTCCTGTGTACAAGTAGATGTGTTGAAATGTTTAATAGGTCGCTAAAATCACTGCCATCATTCTCATGGGATCCGTGAACATCCACACCACATTTAGAAGCAATCTCATCGTTACATTATAAAGATGTGATGGACGGAGAGACCGACTGACATTGCTATCACCATTTGGCCTTGGCACTCTTTTGTATGTGGACCAATTACACGTATGCAGAGCCTCAAAATTGTTTCACACTAATGGCCTATAAAGAGAACTGGGTCACTGAGGCCTGCAGCTACTTTGATAAAATGTCACAAATTGAATCCCTGAACAAAAGTAGACTAAAGGAATATGAATGTAAGATGACCTGTTCTGTACAGTGTCCTCCGATAGAGAAACACCGTCAAACAACAGCTTATGAATCCCACTTTGAAAAGCAAGACCCTGCACACAGAAAACATGATGGATACCCAGGTAAAGGAATGACATGAATAAAATGCTTCTTACATAAAAACTATTATAGTATAGAACCAAAAATTAAACTCATGCCTCCCTCTGCCAGCCACTTCAATGCACTTCATAATTGCAAGTGATGGATGGCTACATATTCATTTTTAACAAGTACGTAAATGTAATATATTATATGGGTATGTCGGGGTGTAAAAAAATGCATCAGTCTGAGTTTGATCCGTTTGAAAAGTTTGAATCGATTAAAAGTGATTAATATTGTATTAAGGTGTTTCTTTTATATTGATTCACTCCTGTCTGGCTGCGATGTGTTTCTGTTCCAGCTTCCATCTCTCACATCACAGAAGTACATAACTGAGCTGCTGTTGGTTGAAGCTGAAGTTTTGAACTGGTCCCTGTAAGGTTTATATGTTTTTAATTTTACTGACTTATTCCGTTTGTTTTTTTTTAGAAGGTTACATCTGTAATACTCAAAATAAATACATCAGTGGGGATCTCAAAAAGGAAATTACTACTACGTTCATAATTAAACCACTGAAATGTTTATGTGTGACTTGATAAAACATTATGTAACAGTAACACAAGTCAACAACAATAAGTTCAACCAGCCAAAGACAATGATGGTGCCCTTCATCAGTAAGTCAATCACCACCACTGCCAAGGACAGGGTATAATTTGTTCAGCTGAGAAGGTGATTGACCTCAGTCTGGCATCTCTCCAGAACGTGTATGCCTCCAGGACTGTGAGGCATGTAGGTAAGATTGTGGCTGACCACTCTCAACCTGGACACAAACTTTTTGACACTCCTCCCTCTGGCAGGAACCTTCAACAGTTTCTTCCCATCTGCAGCTGGCCTCATCAGGAAGACGCTGACTCTTACACCCGACACCCATCCTCTACATGTTACACTAACATTACATCGTAAAGTTTTCTTGCGCGTTCCTAATATTCTTTATACTTAATGCTGTGATATTTTGCACATTCCTTCACCAACTGCTTCCATTTATAATTCTGGTTATATTGTACATACTGTATTGTCTTTTATTGTCTTTATAATATTTGTTCATATTACATACAACATTTATTGTAAATGTTTGCTTCTTGACTTACAGTACAGTACTTGCTTTAATGTTTATTGACTCCATAGCACAACTTTCCTAAAGTCAGCTAACATTTGCTAACATTAGCCACCATTAGTTAGTGGTCATACCAGACCAAATAAGCCCCTGCATGCGTTACACTGACCAATGGTGTGTTTTATTGCTTATGAATTTATTCAGTTAGTGATGTCTGATTGGTTAAACTAAAAGGCCTTTTAGACTAGCATTTTTTTTTAAATAATTTTATAGATGCACAAGATTAATCAATGATGAAAGTAATCGTTAGCCCTCCTGCTTCCTCCCCTGCTGTTAGGACAATATCTGTGATTTGTAGCTATAGTGTCTGTCTCTCCCTGCACCCTAAGGTGTAATATTATTGAACAATATTTTTTGGTGCTTTTCTGTTCACTTGACAAAGTAGTGTTTCACTTTATGAACTTTGTGAAGATGAGATTTAAGATGGGCTTCTTAAATGG